CGGTCATCTAGAAAAACGGACTACAGCTGAGTAAAATCAAGTAAAACTGAATCACACTGTTCAGCAGGAAGAGCAAAATTGCTCAAGGTGGAGGTATAGCTATTACCTTAAACTCAAGTCCTCCAGTACCCTAGTTTTTCATAAAGGACAAGTGGTAAATCAACAGAAAATTATGAGGTGGGTCGAAAATGGCATGATTCGAATGGAGAAAGGGAGCGGCATTCGGTGTCTTGTCTAGAGCGAGAGATTTACTGACTGGTACTAAGAACCAGGCTTCCATACGCTTGGCTATTATTTACGTAAGCTTCGTTTGGTCACTCTGAAGGGATGCCTGTAACAGCTAAATCTGACGATTGCTCATTTAGATGTTTGCTGTAGGCAAGAAAGAACACTTGCGGAATACTTTCATTAGCCGCACTTCACGGGTAGGCCCGGTTACAGAAAGCTGATAGAAAGTACGCTGCGTTGGTTCGGCTACGTGAAAATAAGAACGGAAGAGTACATTAGAAATATGGTTCGAATAATGAGCTACCAACGACAAAAAGAGAACAGAAGATCAATAATTAGGAGGCGCAAAATCGTCATGAGTGATGTACGTCTGAGAGGAGTGACGGAAGATCGAAGAACAGACTCAAATTGCAGTACTCTGTTAAACGTTTAAGCTAGAAAACAGAACACGATTGGATCTCAGGTGTTCTTCCAATGAAGTATTCAAGGTGACGTAGGCACTGGGCACCGAATTCAAACGAAAGATGAGGATGATTGTACAAATCATTTGTGATACTTTTTGCACTCTTGTGTCCGATTATTACTCCATCTCTTTTTTGTCAGTTCATCGCCTGGGACGTAAATCTGACGACCTGTTAATTTTTACCATGACCAGGCATGCTATGGCAAATTCATCACGAAAACAATAAAAATGTTTTTTTAAAGTGCGAGTAAAATAAAATAGATCATTATCAGCCGTTTTCGATCCACTGCTAGATGAAGACCTCTCCATGACTTTGCCATCAACTTTTGTTGCCTATCATTTCTGTCCATCCCGATTCATCGAACTTCCCACGCTTCCGTTGTTTATTAATGCTCAAACGTGTTTGTTCTTCCGTTTCCTCAAAGTTCTGTAAAGTGCCACATATGCAATTTTTGATTTTTGTTCTTTGCTGACTTCACTTCCTTGGTTTCTTCATGAGTGCTTTCGTTGGCTTTGAAGCAAGCTTTTAGGTTGACCTTTGTGATCCTTGTTAGGTAATTTTTTCCTCCTTTTTCGTACCTACCTTCGTTATACCCTGATACATTTCGTTGGAGTTCACTGCTTTTCCGGCTTCTTGTATTTCGTGAAGGACATTGAATCTGTTATTCAATTTCAGTTGGAGTAGCGGGAACGGTAGCGTTTTCACATGCAGTAAATTCCGTTTCATCACTTCAATTTTTGTCATTCTAAAGGTGACCCACGGACACGAGCCAGTGGTCGCTCGTTACGTTAAACCTGTTGAACAATGCTCCTCGTGTTTTGCAGGGTGAGGTTTCATTCTTGACGTCGTTGGGTCTTTCCTAGTCTATTTTGTGCTAGTTTTTTTCTGAGAAATGTGTTCAGAGTGAATAACATGACCGATTCGCCCTGAGGACATTCCTTTCCTTGCTGTGATCCGATTTGGCGTTGAAATCACCAGTAATAAAGTTGTACCGGCTTTTTTCATGTGTACGCCGTCATCGTAAAATTCTTCAATCTCTTCATCAGGATGGTCTGACGTCGATAAGCTTAGAGTTCGTATCTCTTTGAAACTCTCAGAACGAGTCTTGTTTTCCTCCCTGAGGTACCGTCCACGGTTACCACGTTTTCTTTAACCTGTGCATAGCGAATCCTACGCCTTCCAAGTTTCTGCTTGCTAATCTTCTGTAAAACAATAGATGTTCACGGTTAAGCCCTAACTCAGTTAGCTCCTCTACCTTTCATGAAGCGTTGCTGATTCGTACAATTTTCCCCTTATTTCATCAAGTTCCTCTTCCAGTTCTTTCGCCAAGAAATGGTCTGCAATTACACGAGGCCAGAGTTGGCTAATCATAGCGGTTCCAGTTCACAATGCCGGCATTCTTAGCATTGCCTGCCTTAGTGTTGAAGCACTTGCTGTGTTCACCGGTCTCAACCTAGCCTCGGGGGAATGAAGGCCACGATTAGCCGTGATTTCTTCCATGCGGATTTGACCATAATTCACAATGCTGGGCCAGATAAGTTGGTGAATACTGTCTCTTACACTTGATCAGGTATATTTCTATTCTATTTTATGAGTTTTCACACCATGGTTGAACCTGTAATAACCTAGAGGCTCAACTGTACATTGCCTTACGAACTCGTTGTCACCCTTCTGTCCCGTCGAGGTAATGCAAATAAGATTTTGGAGGGAAATACTGCCTATTCAGGATCATTTCATTTGTCAGAAGTTTCCTGATTCTATTTTTGAACGTTTAGTTGTCAACCAACAAGGTCACAGTGACTGAAAGAAAGAACAACAAGCGGAGTGAATATTGCCGCCAGTTTCATAATTACAGAATTTGAAATTATGAATTTTTTTATGTTACACTAAAACATGCCATGGTTAAAAACTAATATAATACATGGAATAGAACCGTTGCTTCCGATCATTTTCCACTGAGTGAATCTCATTCAATATTTTCTTAATGGCGTTATGCACTGTAGTGGTAACCTCCAGTGTACCAGAGATACCCTTTGCCACTGATCCAATATCTGTCATAATCATTTGTGAGAGACTGCTGTACACTGACTAAATGGGTACAATTCTTTGGGAACCTCAAAAAATTGTAATCGACATGCACCTCAATGTCCCTCTGCATCGGAACGAACCGTTTCGACTGCTCTTTCGGCCGTTTTCTGTTGATTTCCCTTGATTGACTTGACATGTATGCCGGACCTGCATGCGTTAGCCACCGAACTAGTTCAGTTTTTCATTGCCCCTTCGACGGCTTCGATTTTCTACCGAAACCGTTGGACCGAGCAGATGGTGTTTAGGTGATGACTTGCGCGATTTGAACAGTAGTTTTGTGCTCGGTCCGGCCGCCGAGACCGAGACCAACCTCCGGTGACGGCCCCGCTTCGACTCTTGTCCGATCGGCAGCTTCAGCATGCGGGCCACAGCACAAGAGTTTCTAGTTACGAGCATCGGCCGTAACGGTATACGGTAGGCTGTGGTATTTTATGCACCTTCGAGAGAGTAACCGTTTTGTACGCCAGTTTTGTCCCAGAGGTTGCATCGTTCTCTACTCAGAGGATAGATGGTAGGATGCTTCAATGCGGCTTCTTTCGAAATAAATATGTTCGACCGCTTCCGTTGTTTTCCACTTTTCATTTGGTCCATAATGCTCATATAGTTCCATGCTTGTTTCCGATACTTTGTTTATCGATCCACCATCTTTGATGCCTATATCTGAGTTTTGGACTTAATAATTTTGGACGCAAGACAGCGAACGATGTTTCGAAAAGTTTATTGCAATTTGTCAACGTTTCGGTCACACAACAGCGGCTTTCCTCAGGACTGAAAATTAGCAATCCGTTTTCCACTAACTATGAGGATGTCTCATGAAACTCAAAATGGTCGACTAATGACACAAAGGAAATCAGGAATTGATTGATCTGCTAGTCCAGCATCATACAATATAGTCTTGAACATCCTCATTGTGGAGACCTGAAACGACCTTCCTGAGGAATTACATATCAAAGCGAAGTACATCTATGTGCATTTTCAATAACTGCACTGCTTCGATTGGGATAAACTTTTGTCAAGAGTCTGGAACGATCAGAAAGAAGGGTATCAGGCAACGAACCGAGCTCGGTGTTGGACTTGCTTTAACGATCGTATGAGTTACTAACAATTTCAGCTTTCATTGTGGATATAAATCTCTCTAAGAACTTCCCGTTCTGCAATCTTCATAGCGCCATTGAAAATCTGTCGTAAACTTGCAGAAGGTCGTCCAACGGTGAGGCAATAACGAGTAGCCGATGGAAGATTTCATGTCAGTTATGGTTTAGGAGAAGAAGAGGCAAGAACAGTTTGAAACAGGTGCGACGTACTCATCACATACTCATCCATGATGCGTGTTTGTAGCATCTTCTTTCATGAGGTTGAATACAGTGCTATTTTCTCTTACGATGCCACCATTCCTTGTGTGTCAAACGTTTTGGAAGAAATGACCTTTACGGTGTGGATTATACGATTCCTTAAATTGTTTACTTTAGATGCAGCGAAGGAGGTTGAGAGGATGCCTCTTTCATGAGATGTCAATCTTCTTTACATTGGTACATGGATACCTGACTAGAGGCATGCATGATATTGTAGCACAGCAACCATGATACTTCAGTTTGCTATTTACTATCGTGTATGAAAACTTTTCATTGCATTTGCATTCTTCGAGCATTATTTTTTCCTCATGTATATTCAGGCAAGAACCTATCTTGAACTCTGTCAAATATCGCCACTGTCGCCTCATTAACTAATCGCTTAGGAATTCATTGAGATATCCTGGTTACCACGTGGCCTAGACAGAATCCACTGCGTTACACGGGAAGGTGACCGGTCTTTTAGTAGCTGCTTCCTCGTCACTGCGTGAATTTGAGGATAGATTTAAAGAGCACACACACACACTCCTGGAATTACTATTGGAACTGGCGGACTTAAACTACTGTGGTCCCTCAAGGATAATAATGATTTTGCGACCTTGTTACCACGCAACCTCCACTACTGAAGTGAAAGCGGTTTGTGATTAATTGAATCGGATACGAGACAGTTGAAATAAATTGGAGAGGCAGTTTCAATGATCGACCGTCGTTAATCCTCATAAACTCACGTTGAAACTCGGCTCGGTTCAGACTTCAACGACAACTACAGTCAGTTCAGCAACAGTGTAGGAAAGTTGAGATCTTCCCTTATACTTTCATGATCAGGCGCCACTTGTGGCTTTTTCTTTGAAGGAAGTTCAGAGTGCAGCTCTGGTCTCGTTTTTATTGCGTCAGCCAAGAGTGACATGTTTTAGCGGCAGAGTTGACAGCAGCTGTGTGGAAAGCATGGTGCACGACGCAGGAACAGTGGAACAGTGTAAGATAGCCCATGGCAACTGATCGTTAAATCTTCAGGGAATACTCTCGGAAACAGATTAACATTTGGCATATTGCCGTAGTCAGTGGACCGATGAAGCTCGATTACCCGACAACAAAGCACAATGTGCATTTGCTGTGAACGTCTCTTGGGCAATCGCCACCAGTGCGGGAGGCTGCTTCCCTCGGCAAGTGAAGAGAAACGCAGAACAGTGAGCTCTGTTGCCGCTTTTTGCCCTGTTTGAGGTTTTACCACGCCGTCTTTATTCCTCCCGAGGGAATCGGTCTATGAGTTTTTTTTTGAAAAGTTTTTTTCTTCATGTGCTTCCCTCCCGTCGTTATCCATCTGTTGCACGAGTAATTGAATTAACATCAGCTGACGTCGCCACCGTAGAAATCGAAATTGCTTTGGATTTGTCTCAAAACCTGCTGTGGCTGATTGCCGCCTTCCGCGCTTGTTACCACGTTGTCCGGGGATACGGTTGTTCTGTTGTCATTACCTTGTTCGAAGCACCTACGCTGGCCAGTTTCTGAATGCCCTTGCTGAATTATCGTTCAGTCCGTCCTGACAAAACCTCAGCCTTTTCTCAGGGTCATGCCTCGATGATTGGCCTTACTGCGAGTTTCGACTGATTAGTCAGCTCAAAGCCAAGTACGTAATAACCGTTCGCTTCAAGGCCGCCACTTTTTAAAAAGTCTTTGGGTATGTCCTTGGAACAGTGTTTTATTCCATTTTTTGGCCATTGCATTTTTTATAATCAGATCTTGTAGATGCGCATACACTTTTAAGGTGGGTCTACTTCGACGGAATTTAGATTACACGGTTTCGAGCTCATCGTCAATGCAGAAACGGTCTTGTGACATTTGTGCTTGTTTGTAGGCAGTAGGTAGCGAGGACAGTGCCCTAACATATTGAGGTGCGACCTTGAGTTTTGTAAAACTGCATCTAAATCATCATGCTTGAAAGTTCCTTCCCGTATAGGATTGAAATATAAAATAGAATATAAAATTTTCTCGGTTCAGGCGTTCGAAGTATGTAATGAATCGTATCATGACTATAATTATGAGCTATTGTTGTAATATTGCCCGAAACCATCATTGTTGTTTATAACCGGTCAACTGAGAAACATTCCTGTTCTTCGACGCAACTTACATGAAGCAGCTGAGTAGTTTCTTCTTCGGTACTGCATGCACTTTAATGATTTAAAGTATTACCACGAAAAGAGGCTTCACAGCAAATAGGAGTTATCGTATGTTTGACAGGAACATATCTGAACGTTGGTCGTCTAATTAATCGACCGTTATCTACGAAAGTAAGTAAGGAAAACCGAGGTTTATAACCGATGAGGTATCAATCTCTCGTACGCTTTCGCCTCACTCTACTCTGCAGACGCTTCTAATCTGGGCCGATTTCCATTTCAGTGGTACTGATCCTGATGGCTTATTTCTTCAAGAGTGCCTCGTCGCCTGATTCATGGCTAAAGTGTATAGTCTCTTGTTTTCTTTCGAATAAGCGATACCCATTTATTTGTTTCAGGTTGTTCGGTGCGTACTTGAATCCGTAGTCTTTTAGCTGCCAGTTCGGCTGCTTACCGACCCGACTAGCTGCCCTGACCTTTCATGTGTCGATGGGATCTGCAGATCTTGACGAAGAGGCTTCTTTTCTTTCACCGTTCCAAAGCTTAGTCGCAACATCTGGAGGACGACTCACGTTTTTAGAATAAGTCGAAAAAAACACGTACTCCAAAATTTAGTACAGCTCAAAAATGACAGATTGGCCCTTTTAAACTTCCGTTAGAGAGGGGGCCATTCCGTATTTTGTATAATAACAGAAATTTGCGCCATTGTGACAGCGTCATTAAAATTCTGCACTGCCCTGAGCATGATGGCCATAGTTCATGGCCGTCTTTCCTCGAAATCGATTTGTTGAGCGGTCTGACAAAAAATACAAATGGCGTCTTCCCTCTTGTGACACGTGGAAACGATACCGACAAGAGTTAATATGCATTAACGGCAACATGCCGTACTCCAGCAGGGTTTGCATGCACCTCACGCTTAACTATGCTTTTCAGTTATGAGGGATGCGGCGTCAAGTCTGTTACCTCGATGTTCCGTTATGCATATGAGGTTAGCGGCATCTTTCAACATGGGAGGATGCGTAGCATATTGATTTAACTGTCGTAGCTGACAGTTAGTTCGTTTTGTTTAGGCATTGAATAGACTCAAGGCCTAAGTCTTATGTCCTCATTTTCTTCCTCTGTCACAGTACCGAAGACTAATCCGACGTACCATCGTAACCAAATCAGATAAAATCTTTGTAAAGTGCTCCTTTGTTCAAAATGTTCCTAGACTAAAACTTAAATACCTATAATCTTTCAGTTTCACTCAACCGTATGCATGCTTATTGAGTTAATTACGTCACTCACCGTGAAAAAGTCAGCATTACGTGAGCTTCAGCGATTTTGAATGTGTAGTTGCCCAGTGGGTTATCTTCCGCTTAACGGCTTACTCGGCTAGAATATAAATATAAAACTTTACTACGGTATAAGAAAGTATTCTACACACTTTGCAGAGCTACACGACAGGCGGCAAATTTTCATGACTCACTCAGAATGATAAGTCTATCGACTCGACCACATAAGTTTATGCTGCCTGCTTGACAAACGGATGATTAAAGTCATCGGAATGCTTTTAAAAGTGTCTCCTCGTTAACACTAAGGAAATAGTGGGCTGTGAAATACAGATATTGAATGAGAACAGAAGTGAGACGATTTAAATGGCAGTTTTGTCCCTCATGACGTTATCTGAAAGTGATTGCATCGGAAGCACGTTTATGAATGTACAAGCATCGCGTAAGTAGCGGATCGAACACCGGAAAAGAAAATGTCCTGTCAGGTTTCTTTAAGTATGACTGAATGGAAGCGGGGACCGAGGAAGTAGACTGAGTCACACTGCGAATGACACAATGATTTCTTTGGTGCCAGGAATACGTCAGTCAGTTCGATGATCGCCT